AACAGATCTGAAACTTAAAAAGAAATTGTCAGACTCTGCCTACACAAGAGACTGTTTTAAAAGAGAATTAAAAGCTAGCTCAGCCTTCAAAAATATTCCAAACCATTCAGAAAGATCTATATATACAAGCTGCCAAAATGGCTTTCATAAAAGCCCAGAGTTCTTTGAGTTTAAAGACAAGTTAGGTAATACATAAGGTGACGCATTTTGCAACATGAGAAAGGGCACCTATTATAGGAAGTGCCCCTGAAATAAGGAGCTCTCAAACTGCGCTACATGAAGACATGGACTCACAAATTACTGTGAACTCACGCAATGAGAACGGTCTGTGCGCAGTGTCTCATTCCACACTGAAAAATGAGGTCACTTACTCTAAAAAAGCAGTAAGGGCTGGTAACAGTTCCGGTGCACAGAAAGGGCCAGAAGCACACATGCAATTAATGCTTATCTACATGCTTGGAAAAGCTTTAGAAGAAAACAAGGCTATCTCAAATATTACTTGCTTTAGAAATACCAAAACTCTGCCGAGGCAAGGAAGAGAATCCAGATCTGAGGCTCACGCAGAATTTGGGCTCTGCAGGCTCTCCAGACTCTAACAAGGCTTCTGTAACTACACAGCTCAGTCGGTGGATCCCTGCCTGTCTCCGAGGAAGAAGCCTGATCCTATGTGTACAGATATCTGACTTACGCATCCCCTTGGCACTGTATTAAAGATTTTTACATTCGAGCTGTAAGGAATGCACTGCTGTCCACAGATAGATACAGCACCACACAGAGGCTTAGACACCAGACCTAGCAAATAAATGTTACCGTCCAAGCTAGGAAAAATAAACAAGTTATTAGTTGCAAACCTGCAGTAAACTTGAACTTATATACATTTAATAGGTATGATAATGGACCAGGAAGTTTTTTGTTTCGGTGTGGGGTTTTTTTTAATATACATTGAAACTGAATAAACCATGTTTATGTAGAGATGCCGCTAACGCACGTTTGGAGAATAGAGAGATTTAGTACAAGCATTTAAAGTCATATTCCACTGAAACTGTTAACTGTAAACTTGCAGAAAACCATTATTCAAAACACTTCAAGAAAAAAGAAACTTAAGAAAGCTGAAAAATCAACTTTGAATTACCCAAAAACATCATCGAAGATCTCAAAACATGTACTTAATGTCCCAACACAAGAATCAAATTTAATTAAGGCACATGGACACAAAATGACCTACGGAATCTAAGATCTAACTACCCCTGTTATATTATTTTCTGGAATCCAGACCAAATACCGTCTCCCACATACCTCCATCTCCTGCTGTGCCACTGCACACGCTGCCCCCAGGCCCACTGCTAAAGGAGTGGGCACAGTCCCCGACCGCAGTCCTCTCTCCTGGCCTCCCCCACTTTGCAGCGGTTCTAGCCTGACACGCGGTCGACGGCGAACATAGATAGCACCAACCCCTTGAAAATAAGGAAAGCTATTTTAGTGTACAGACACCACTTTGAAATTATGAAAACGGACTCCAAGGTTTGGAAATATTCCTTATTTCCACAGCAAACACATATTTGGACGCCTCACTGGAGAAAAATGTAGCGAACACAATGTTTTCTAGGATATGGTCTTTGTTCGCACTGTTCGCGTTCTTCAGTCAGGCTCCCAGAGCTTCAGCCAATGAGAGAAGCTCAGTTTCTCCCAGTGTACTTCAGCCACCTAAAGACTAGAGGTACTTCCCTTACTTCTCCCAGTTCCTGTGCACAGCTGAAGCTCATCCCTTTGCACTGAAGTTTTTATGTGCAGATATTTCATTCACTGACGTCCCCTTACCAACTTCCAACCAAAAGATCTAGAAGAACTCCCTTCCCTGGATTACCAGGCCAGCACCAGATCCAGAAGCCCTCTTCTTCTCATTAGGGAGAACTCATCAGTGGCACCAATTTCCAACAGGCAGATTACATGAGGCAGTTTTGTCAGCCAGCCAATTTCACCGTCTAGTCTCCTCACCCAGAAACTTGGATTTCCAGGTCTTCATGTGCTTTGGCATAACTAACGGGTGACTGTCACCACAAGAAGAATGGATGCTACTTCTGGTCATAATAAGTTGGGAAAATTTATGTCTGTCACCTGCCCAAACTTATTGGTTGAAAACTTAGTCCTCATCCAGAGATATGTCTTCAGCTTTCAGGAGAGCTCGTACACAAAAAGAAAACATATTGAAAAAATAATTATTTTGCCTTTTGTTTCTGAATAGCACACAGAATACAGCAAACTTGATTTCTGTCTTTCTACATCCAGTGTTACAAACTAAATGAACCGTGACAGTGATAACAGCTGAACTTCTACTGTTTGGGAGTCGCTAGAAAACCCACAGCCAGATTTTAAGGCCCATTCTGCAAATAGCACTGGGAGCAGAAGCCACTGGAAGTAGAATACAAATCACTAAGAATTTAAACTTTCCAGTTACCTTTTGATCTCCTTCTTGCAAGTTACACTTGGCTCTAAGTTTTGCCCTATAACCCAGTGATTTCATTTCAAACATTTCAGCTTCAATGCTGCTTCACACCAAGCAGATGACTCCTGAAAAGTCACTCCCCCTAATTCTGCCACCATTATAAGATACTGCTTCTTCCTTCAGCAAAGGCACCTCACAACCCATAAGCACTGAAGACCCACTTACGGCAGCTCTAAATCTGGCAGCAGTACCTGAACTTCTCCAAAGTCACCCCAATACCAATCTCAGAATAGTTTTCTACAGTTTAAGTACTATGACAGACAGGTTTGACTTCATACCTTGCGTAGTTACCTTGAGGTAGGCACGGAAACAATAATTCTCTAGAAAAGCACTTCAGTAAGTACCTTTGGGCCCATAAATTTTATGGCCACTGATGCTCATTAGATCAATTTTCATGTTGTTGACGTCCACAGGAATTTTACCAATTGCTTGTGCAGCATCTGTGTGGAAGAAAACCTTACGTGTGCGGCAGATCTCACCTGTAATAAAAACACAAAACCAAAAAACCCACATCATCTCATCTAATCGCTATGATTCCAATGATTCCAACAACGAATCTAAAGCATCAGCTTATATCAGAGACAGGTTCTAAGGTGACAGAGGAAGGAATGTGTGCTGTCATGTTTCTTTTACTGTAAAGTGTCTAAAACTGTGTAGGAGCTATTCTAGCTATTCAGCTATGCCTAACTGGGCAGAGATTTAGGCAGGTCAGCAGGCAAAACTACGGTGAATTTTTTCAGCTGAGAAGTTAAAAAGTCTTCTGCTGTTAAGAACTGAGATTGTTTCCAAACCCACATCTATCAAGTTCAGGTACAAGTAGCTCCATGGGACATCCAAGTTTCCCCACAGGTATGACTCTACAGCTGGATTATTTTTCTTCTCAACACCAGTCTAGAACAAGCCAGCCTTACTATCAAGTTTATACTTGCCAAGTATTTTTATGCCATCTCCTCAAGTTTCCAAGTTTTGCAATGCTCAGCTTCAAAAATGTTCTCAAAATTGTCACTAGTCCTCACACACCAATTACTCCCACCTGAAGTCACTCAAGCCTGTAATCAATGTTTTTGCATCCAGAGCTAAAAGACACTAAGGAACAAAATAACCTGATGTTCATGGGCACCAAACTTAAATATTGTTTATTTTTGTCACCAAAAAATTCACAACTCATCTTCCTCAGAATCTGTACTTAGCACAGCTGCATCCTAGAGTTCTCCTTTCCACAAGTTCAGCGTTATCTTTCACTGGAGAAGCTGTGCTCCCGTAATCCAGCAAGAACAGCGTTGCTACTGCTGTGGCCTCATGCCAGCAGTGCCTTCGGTTAACTCTGCAAGGTCCCCGTCCTGGCCTGTTAAACCCGTTATCAAGGTGTGATGAGAACCTACTGTGGGAACCAGAGCTTGGTAGCAGGTATCTCTGGCATTGAAGCATGGGACAACAATAACGGCCTTGACAATTTAAGCACAGGAGGAAAACAGAGTCCTCCTACAGGCCTACAAGCAACTCGCTGATGGCCAATTACTTGGCAATGAAGAAATATAACCTTGAAGCGCGCTGGGGAAAATGCTGCTTTGAGCATAATGAAGAAAAAAAAAAAACCCAACACAGCAGCTAAGCAAGAGAAAAATCAGCTGCACAACAGGGTAAGATGCCTGCCACAGCCTGGGAAAACAATGCCCTCCAGAACCATGCAGTATAAACTCGAGGGCAGAGGCCAAAGACTATAAACTGTCTGAAAACTCAAACACCTTATGAAAGGACAACTTGAATGTGAAGGGGCATGTTTTGTCACTGTCATAGGAAACCTTATCATGGAATCACAGTGGGATCCTGGGAGCTGCACACGTGGGCCACCCGCGCACCCTGCCTGCTCCAACACCCCTGCTTCTCCAGCTGCCCCTTCACCAGCTTTGCCAGACTGCTTTGAGGCCCCTGTCCCTCCATCTGCCTCCTCAGAGCCTGGCTCTCTCCCTCCCTGCCTCCTCTTACAGAAACTTGGCTCCTCAGCGGCCTTTTGACCTCCAAAACAATTGTTCATGACTGTATATGGCAATACTGGGGGGAAGGGGCATCTAAGTATGGTCTTCACCATCCCCTCCCACCCCACGTTCTGCACGTTTCTCCTCTTAAACACAACCACTCAGTAAACCATTATAGTACGTAAACTCCATTTGGCCAGTCATTCTGGGCAACTTTTTCATCCATTGTACAATTCAGAATGAAACTAGAAACACTGCAGCTGGTCTGTACTACAAGGCTATAATTGCTGCAATACTCACTGTGAAAGTACTGAACTTCATCCTCATTTCCCTTTTAAAATAAGTTTTTATTTGGGCCAGCATTATTCTTTATTCCTTAACTATACTACACCTAATCTTTTACACCAGTAGCACTTGGCTATGAAAATATTAAGTCAAATGAAGCAGGAGTGACATTAGCTGGCCTCTGGAAGCCATGGTGTACTCACCAATGTCGTGGATTGGCTGCTTGACTCCTATTTCATTATTCACAGTCATTACAGAAACCAAACTTGTATCTGGCTGGAACGCAGCCTCTAACTCCTGGTGAAATATTCAAACGGACAGAAGTTGTAATGAAAAGCAGAAGTAAAAGACTCCTGAACACACCTTCAGTTTGCTTGCAAATCTTAACCACCAGCCCCCTAACTAGTGTATTACCAACAAACCCCTGGGTTCTGCCAAGCAGTCATGATGAGAGCACTAATCCACGTGAACACAAAATTCCTGTAGGAAGAGGAGCGGAATCAATTGCACTTCTGCATATCTTAGCCCTGGTATAGAACTGGCCACCTGACTTGATTAAATCAAGTCACTGCAGGCTTTTGCTATGCCTCATACATTCCTCTGAACTATTGTCTTTAATGAATTAACCACCCACGAAACAGCTTAAGCCATATCTAGAAAAAGGGAGGGTGGCTATAAAGGAACTGCACTGTACACCAGAAAGCATCATGCAAAGGAGCCTGACAGCAAAGTTCTCGGAGAACACAACTAACACTTCTGCACCTGCAGACCTGTCCATCTACCCCACCACATACACAACATCTCTCCAAGCCAGATGATGGGACTATAAATAAAACTGATGCTGTCCTGTATTACAGGACAGCAATGATAAAATAAGCATACACAACTTCTAAATTCCAGGAGTGCGGCCAGTACACCCAGAAGGGTCAGCTCACGGACAGCAATCGGAAGGGAGTATTATAATCGCTGTGCCTGATGCCTTGAGTAGCTCAGTTCATGAAATGTCACCGCTAACTCCAGCTCCATCCTAGTCATGTTCTGGGCTCTCTACAGGGTACGCAACAGCTCCACCTGCACAGCTATGAATGACAGCAGGGGAAGGGTGGGATCAGAGGTGGATGTCTTGGTTGAGAAAAAGTCTAGAGCACCAGATAGAACAGAAAATCCTTCTCCAACTGTGATAGTTTTGACTTGGACTCTCATTCTACCTTGTGACACTTATCATCCTTTTCTCTTTATCATGAAGAAGACACAAGGTCCTCTTAAGCATCAATTTGAAGCAAAAATCTCTTCTATATTCACTTTCTTTCTGTCAGTAAACAACCTACCTTCAAATCTATGAGCCCATTTTCTTTAACAGGCAGATACGTGACCCGAAAACCTTCTGACTCCAAGGAACGGCAAGAATCCAACACGCACTTGTGCTCTGTTTGCGTAGTAATGATATGCTTTTTTCTGGATTTATAGAACCTTGCAACACCCTGTCAGGCACAATCCATGAACAATAAATTTGCGATTAGACCACTGAAGAAAGCAAGCTTTACAAAAAATTATCAGAAACAAGAAATTACTATTTAGATATAATTCATTTGGATCTTCTCTGTTTGCCCTAAAGTCATGAATCTAAAAGGTACTGACATGTAATTCACACTACATATTGCCATCAGCACTCATTTTTCAAAGCATCTCACTTTTCAATAAGCCTGTGGGAATGTTAACTTATGTAAGTCCTAGACACTATTAACACAAATACTTTTTAAAAAACACTTGCAATGGAGTCTTATACAATGAGAAATCTGCATAACCACATACTAAAGGTTAAAACATTACCTAGTCTTAGTAAGAAAAAATCTCATAATCAGCATCTCCACTATATTTAATGATAAAGATTTTAATTACAAAAGCTGAAAGATTGTACTTGGTGGATGTAAGATAACTATTGAGTATTATGTTCCCAAAATCTCATCCTGGGCATCACAACACCCCAGTATTTCTTCCATGTATGTAGCAGAATACCACAAGGAGTAAATCCAGAAATGCAGTAATGCAAATATTTGCTAACTACATCAACATATTAACATTTAAACTGTTGAAAGATGTGTACAGTTCCTAAGAGCATAATTTTAACATAATAAATAACTATCAGTATAACTCTTTTACCTTAATTGCCATATTATTTGATTCTGTTGCACCGCTGGTAAATATAATTTCCTTTGAATCAGCTCCTATTAAATCTGCAACTTGCTGTTTAAAAAGAAATACAAATTTTATTTGTTACGATAAAATACAATTAATTCACCATAGCAAAACACATGCAAAATGTTTTCAACAATACCCTCTTGAGCCTCAAAAGGATTACAGCTAGTCTCTAACAAGGTTATGCTACAGGTACAATAGCCTAAATATCTGCATTAATAGAAAATACATAAGGAATCCATAGTCATTAACAATAGTGGTATTAAGCATTAGCCTGTCATAATACAATGTACAAGTTAAGCAGACAAAATCCCAGTACATACTACTTCCAAAACAAACAACAAAGACCCATACCTAAGATTAGGAAGGAGAAGGATAAAATATGAAGTTAGCCCAGTTACTGCAGCAGCACACTTGTGACCTCAGGAACTCAAAAATCCTGAGGCACCATTGTCCAAAGTATTGGTTTCTGCCATTTCAGTTGCTCTATTCTCACTGTTTTTTCTTGCAATAAATCTGATGAAGTACAGCAAAGAGGAAGCTGCTAAATCCCACCCACGGAGAACTAACTACAGCAGTTTCATCATTACTTTTGATTTTTTTTGACACTGAATTTCCTCGCCAGCAGGAAAACCACTACAACCGCGGAGAGTCAAAGACTCACCTGTCTCGCCCTCTCCACAGCAGCCTCGCTCTCCCAGCCATAGGCGTGTGTCCTGGAGTGGGGGTTACCATAGTAGGCCATCAGGTACGGGAGCATGCTGTCCAGGACTCTGGGATCCTGCGGGACACAAACCACCCGGCCTCAGAAATGGAGAAGGAAAAGCACCTCTGTCCCCTCCACATACACACATCCTCCCTCTGCCCCAGGAGTAGCAGCACTTCTGCTGCAGTGTCCCGGCTTAGCTCGGGGCAGATCTTGAAAACTCGGGTCACTGCAGTCACATACAGCACAGCCCCCAGCAAACGCCAGCATCGGCAGCTACGTTCTGTTCCCGCGCGCGTAGCCACCACCTGCATCGAGACAACCACCGAACCACGGGGTTTGCTGCGCTGCAGAAACAAAAGGTCTTACACAAGTCAGGAGAAACTACACGGGTCAGTGTGTCGGTTAAATAAACGCCTCGCTGT